TGGGCCCAACCGGAATTCCGGTCCGGGCCGGTCCAACCAACCGGCCCGGCTGGGACCGGTCCGGTCCAACCGGCCGGTGGCCGGTGCAGCCCTGGTTATTTATTTATTTATTTTGGATTTTTTTTGCAGTTAGTTAGTATGGTCTCCACTCTACGAATTGGTGGCAAGTTTGATTAAAATGACCCTTTGGTTTTCATATAAATGGCATGGCAAGTGGTCTGAAATTAGGGTCTTCGTTAACCTTCTCTCCTACTGCAGGTATCACATGAGGTCCACCACAGCCATGGCCACCCTTCTTCCTTCCTCCTCAAAGACCGAGGCTATGCCGGACTACCAGGGCCTTGCCCTGCTGTGCAAAGGACAACACAGAGCAGCTATGGCTGCTCCTGCTCAGGCTGTCATGCCTGACTCTGCATAAAGCTTCTTGGTACAGCTCCACCCCAACGGGGCCTTCCAGATGCAGCGTCCACCAAGCTGATGAAGATGGCATCCTCCATAACCAGGTGAGTACCTCCGGCGCTCTCCCTCCTCCTAGTCCTTGTCTCCCTCCTCCTCCTGCCTGTGCTCCACCATAGCCGTGGTGGAGAGCCGGGCGCTCTGTCCTCCCCAGCAGCGCGCTGCTCCAAGCAGCGTTGCTCCAGCCAGTGCTCCAAGCAGTGTGTCGCCAAACTTGCACACCGAAGAATGAGGAGGAGCACTTCGCTCCTGGAGATATAGCGGCCTGCTTGCCTCTTGGGCGGTGACTTCCTAGGCTGTGCGGCCTCCAAGCAGCCGGCCCCTCCTCCCTTTCGGAGGGAAACATCATTGCCGACTCTGAATTTGCCAGTACAGGCCCTACACTCAGACTGGTTGGACTGGTACCCGCCTGGACCCAGCCTACAGCTACTGGGCCTCGAAAAATGCCAACTTTGTCTTCTTCTGCTTGGCTTCCAGTACCCGGCACATCTACCTCTTCTTGGTGTGGTACCGGCCTACCTGCTACTTGAGTGTTTTTCCGCTGCTCCAAGTGTCGCGGGACTCTTTCCCCACCACCTGAGTGTTTTCCCCACCGCAACCCTCAATGGCACAGTCACAGGTAAGTACCAGCCCCTCAGGCCCCTGCCACTTGAGTGTTTTCCCCACTGCAACCCTCAATGTCACGGCCCCAGGTAAGTACCGGCCCCTCGGGCCTCCTGCACGGTCAAGTACCCTTGCAGGTCACACACACACTCAAACCGACAAGCACTCAGACAGGCACGCAGACCAGTAAGCACGCACACACTCAGACTTAGAAAACTCAGCAACAAGCTGGAAACTCAGCAAGGCATGCATTCCATTGGCAAATCTCAGAAATCAGCTGTGTGTCTCAGTCGGTGTTTGGCAGGTCCTTACAGCACCATCTTGTACAGAATCTACAGATGGTACTTGACCACGCCGGTGTCCATGTACTTTTTTTTTTTTTTTTTTTTTAAGTAATCATTGTTCAGGGCCAGGTCATCTACCCCTTGGGTGGTAAGAGCCCCAGTGTAACAAGCAGGAGGCTGAGGGAGACAGGGAGAGCCGAGGGAGAGGAGAGAGGGAGAGAGTGAGAGCACACACACACACTCACTCACTCGACACGACTGAGGGTCGGACGCAGACACACGGGCAAAGACACAAAGTCGAAGTCTTGGATCGGGGGGAACAGGATCGGGGAGTGAGGAAGGAGTTGGGGAGGGAG